CTTTCAGGGCAATCAGCCCCGCCCCCTGCTCCCCAGGAGACAGTCTCGGCCCTTCGCGCGGAGAAGGGGGGCGGAGAGCAGGCGTTCGGGGCAATCAGCCCCGCCCCCTGCTCCCCGGAGCGCCCGCGCGCGCGAGCGGAGGGTCCTGGCGGGGACCGGGTCCTCTTAGGCCCTGCCAGCAGCTCTCCTTTCCAGTCCTAGGCTCTGACCCTTACATCCACGTGAAGGGCTACGACGCGGGCTGGATCCAGCTGGTGTGCAGGTCGGCGGGATGGTTCCCAAGGCCTTGGGCCGAGTGGAGAGACCCTCAGGGCAGGGTGCTTCCATCCGAGCCCCAGGCCCTTTCCCAGGACCAAGCCGGCCTCTTCGAAACAGCCGTGTCCAGCAAAGTCAGGGACAGCACCGTGGGCAACGTGTCCTGCACCGTGCGCAACGCGTTCCTGGGCCAGGAGAAGACCACGGCCATGGTCATAGCAGGTAAAAGCTGGGGCTGAAAACAGGTTCGAGCCCCTGGTGGTTCCAGAGAAAACTCCTACACGAATGGAAACTTTATAAAGAATTTTTGAAATAGTGAGAATAACACGTTTATTGTAGAAACTTTAAAAATACAGAATATTTTAAAGAAACAAACAAAAAATGGCCTATGATCGCACAAATTGGAGAGAACCACTGCCAACACTTTGGGGCATTTCTTTTAGGACTTCCTTTCGTGCATGTATCTCCGAGTGCATGGCGACATATATGTATTCTCCTGCCTGGGGTTCCCCCCCACACACTTACAGAGTCATGAGCATTTTTTGCCCATGTCCGTAAGCAGTTCTCTGAGACAGATTTTAAAGGGCCGCGTAGTGTTTTATTATGTGGGTGAAGCATAATAAAATTAATCAAAGCCCTATTTCTTGACATATAGATGGTTTCAATTTTTCCTCTAACAGTGCAGTGAACATCTTTGCACATAATTTGGGAAGCGATTCTGATTATTTTCTTAGAAAGTGTTTCTAGAAGTAGAATTCCTGGGTTGAAAGGTCATGAGCCTTTTAAAGACTCTTGAAACATGGAACCACATGGCAGAGAAGGGTGGTGTTACCGCCAAGAAAGAGTGTGGCCTGGGGTCCCAGGTGAGGAGGGATCGTGGGCCCCTGCTAAGGCCTTCGTTTCCCTCTCTGCCCGCCGTCCTCCCTTCCTACTGCCACTGGCTCTCACTGGTGCTAAGCCCTTTAAGTCTGCCAACCACCGGGCCTGGGACTGCGATCATCCCCATTTTACAGATGGCCAGCCAGGCTTGGAGAGGCTCAGTCTCCTGCCCAGGGTCCCCTGGAGGATGAGCGAGACTCACACCCAGCTTGGGCTCATCACCCCTTCTCGATTTCCTCTTCGCTTTCTCCCCCTGAGCTTCAGGCCCGCTGCTGTAGCCCCGCAGAAGTAGTTTTGCCCCCGCTGATATGACTCAGGGTGAAGGGGTCGCTGATGGTTGTTCCCCAGCAAGTGAGGATTTGAAACGGGAGGCAGGTGGTGCTCAGGAGGAGACTACGGGTGATCACTGTGGAAGCACCTCCAGTTCTTCAAAGAACCTGGATAACTTTCCCATTGAATTACAGGGCCGGGTGAGGCTGCGATTGGGAAGCCGAGTTTAACTCACTGTCTTCAGGCAGGACCATCAGAACCACTCCTGAGAGATGAACATCTCACTTTAAAGTTATCTCTGAGTCATCCAGGGTGTGAGTGACTGAGAGAGGCATAAAAGCCTCATCAATCTTGGCTGGAGGTTTCTCCCGAGAGGTGACAGAGACAGTTGGGATGTGCCTGAGCCATCTTCCACGTGAGGGGGGGCCCGTGGCCTGGAAGAAACTCTGAGCTATCTCCTGACGGTGGTCATTGGTGGTTCTGTTTCAGCCCCGTCTCCAGGGAGGGTCTCCCCCTCAGCAGTGGCTCTTGCTGTGATCCTGCCTGTCCTGGCGCTTCTTATCATGGTGGGCATTTGCCTCATCTGGAAGCAAAGACGATCGAAAGGTAACTAAGTGGTCAGGGGGCCCCGGGCAGCAGGAAGCGGGACTGTGGCTTCTCTAGGAAAAGGCTGGGAGGAAGGAGACATAGACGTGATGGTTATCCATAGGTTGGAGACCCTGCAAATTGGCTGGGAGAACACTGGTAGAACAATGCTCTGGGGACTTATATTACAGGGAAGATCAAAGAAACTGCAGAAAGCTCCTGGGAAGAGTTGTGAATCCCCAACTTTTGAGAAATTAAAAATAACTGATCATGCCAGTCTTCTAATTAATTAAAAAATCCAATTCTACCCATTGGATCAAACCCTCATAAATATGATTGCATTTCACAGGATCTCAAGGTCGTATGGTACCTTGAAAGACACATAGCCCAACACCCCTTTCCTTATCTGATGGTTTGAAGACCCTCTAATTCTTTCAAATGGTCATATAGCCACAGTGACAAGGAGCAAAGTCCTACTGAAGCAGCTTGTCCCTGGATAACTCTGCCTGTTAGAAAAAGCCTTTTCTTAGGCTGAGCTGATGTCTCTCTCTCTCCCCCCCCATCCAGAGAAGCTTCTCTATGAACAGGTGATGGAGGTAGGTAAGTGTCCTGGGATGGGTGGGGATGGTTCTCTGTTTTACTCATTTTTGTGACTCTAGTGCCCACTAGTCTAAATTCTGTACCTGAAAATGCCAACATCTGCTGTCCTTGGTGGCAGCAGCAGGGTGGGGTCTATGCCTGTGATTTCCAGTCTTTGCTGACTCTGACCTGTAATAACTTGTCTTGCAGTATGTTTGATGATTTTTGTCTGTGGACTCATTGCTTGATCTTAGTCTGTGGGAGTCGCTTAGGTCTAACATGGGGGAAGCTTTTATTCATTCAACAAATAATTGATAGCTGTCTGCTAAGTGCCCTGGACTGTACTAATGCTGGGTATACAACGGTGAGTCAAAGCAGACAGTCTGTGCCCTCTGGGAGCTTTCAGTCCAGCCAGGGAGGTATATGTGAATTAAATAACTGCACAAGTCAATGTAAAAGTACAACTGTACAAATGCCACGAGTGGAAGTTCTGGGGGCTGTGAAGATTATGACCAGGAGGAACCACCCAAGCTTCGAGGACAGGAGAGGAGTCCCCAGAGGAAGCGATGTTTGATCTGGAGGACGGGCAGGCATGGGGGAAGAGGGAATAGAAAACTACAGCAGAAAGAACAGCCTGAGGAAGTAACACTGTGCAGAAGTGAGGCCGGAGGTGACGGAGGACGAGGCTATGGAGTTCGGCGGGGCCAGGCACCGGGAGGCCTTGTGGAGCCCGTGAAGGACTTTAGTCTTTCTCCTCAGGCAGTGGTAAAGCAGCGAGTGGGATACCCCATCAGCACTGAGCTTCAAGAGGCTCTCTGGCTGCAGTGTTGGGAAGAGACCAGAAGGAACAAGACAGGATTGGGGGCAATTTTGGCTACTAGTTTTGTCATCCAGATGAGAGATGATGAGGGCCTGGATCAGGGAGGTGGCAGTGGCGACAGAGGTGGACAGGTTCAAGAGCAGGTAAAATCAGTAGGAATCAGGGACCTTCAAGGTAATGGCACAGAATCTCACTTATTTTATTTTATTTTTTTTACTTTTCTCCCTCTAGAAAATCTTCTTTCAGACCATTCAAAAGAAAAAGGTAATTTAATGTATAGAATAAGGGGTAGGGAACAAATAATAACATATTCTTTCTCCTTCTACATAAATGCTGACAGTCTATTATTATACATACATTATGCAGGTACACACACACCCTCCATTAATGACTGGAATTTATCTTCCAGTATGAAGGGTCTATGGGATTGGTGGCTGTGGGTGAGGGGATGCTCATGGTAAAAATTCATAAGTCTGAGAAATCATGAGCTCCCTTTATCAGCTTTTCCACCAATCATCTAAAAAGGAGGTCTATATTCTACTTAAAAAAATAGATATATATGTTCACCTGGGATGTATGAGAATCTCGAGGATCCACACAACTTTTGCATTCAGACAGGTAATAGGTGGTGTGATACAGTGGGAGCTTCACAGGCTCTGGAGTCGGCGACACCTGGTCAGATCACTGGTCTGCCTTGGATGTGTCACTTCACTGCTGTGAGCTTTGGTTCCCTCATCTGTAAAATGGGAATAATAATTCCCCTCAGGATTAAAAGAGACAGGTTGAAAAAAACCTCTCCTATTACAGTGCCTGGAGCTCCTTTCCCTTATTGCCATTTCATCTTCATTAATTGAATGTTTGCTCTGGGTCATTGAGGGTAAAAGTTAGACACCTAGGGTACAAAAAAACAGGCAGGGTCCTTGCCCCTTGAAAATCTAGCTGAGAAGACAAGTCACTGGCTCCAAAATGGTTCCACACACAATGATTTGGGCATCTCCTCTCCTCTTCCCTTACATCTCCTCCCAAGAGTGAAAGTGTGGGGTGCACACTGCAGGGACCCTGTGGCTGTCTGTCCAAAAGCAGGAGCCACAGTGTGGCCAGTGGTGAAGGCCTCTGACTAGGAGTCAGACACGCTTGGGTTTGAATCCTGTCTCCTTGGCCACTTATAACTGAATGACCTGGGTAAATTTCCATGTCCGTCTGAGCCTCAGACCACCACTGGGAATAATAATTATATGCATCTAACATTGTCAAGAGGGTTCAGTGCCTACCTCATTATGAGAACAGGATACAATAAATGGAGGCTATTAGTAGTGGAAATATAATATATCAATATTATATATAAGTAATATAATCAACATTATTATAATTAATAATATAACTATCATTATATAATTATAGCATTAATTATATTAATAACATGAACACAAACCATGAGCTCCTTAGGGGCCATATCATATTCAGCTTCACTGCCCCAATGTCTAATGCCTAATACATTCCCAGCTCTTAGCACAGGTCCTGGCAGTGGACTCAAATGTATAACTTCAATTCTCTGGCAGGGCCAATGCTAGGGAAAGTGTGGACTGGACAGCCCCTCTGGAGATGCCACAAGCACTCCCCGAAGCATGTGAAGCATACACATATGTCCCCAAACCATCTGGAATCTCTAAACCTGTGAATCTCTCTGCATGACTTTAGGGGAGTTGCCCTAGAGGATGATAAAGCCGTCACAAGTCAACGCTAGGCCTTCACCGTAGATGTTATAAACAGTGTGCAGCGAGGCACGCTCATGCACACATGGTTACAAACATATGGAAACACTCACACAGACAGTGGAAACAAAACCAGACAGACAGGAAGGGAAGAGGAAGGAGCAACCGCAGACCTGGGCAGTCTGGTGGCACCAGCACCCTGGCTTCCCAGTCCGCCCTTTGGGAGATGTGACTGCACTGGTGGCTGATAGGAGCATCATCCTTTCCATGGGGGGGGGGG